CGGCCTCTCCGGCCCTCCGGCCCTGGCCGTCCTGCGCCCAGGCCGGCTCCCCGCCCGTCGTGCGCTCGGCTCTCACCTGGGCCTCCTCTGGGCTTCCGGGAAGGTGTGTCTCAGGGGGAAGCAGCTCTCCGGCTCGGGGGGCAGGGGCTGGTACTTCTTTGGGAGTGTCGTCGGCGGCCTGCGTGGGGGGAGTCCCGGCCTGGTCATGGGCGGCCCCAGGCCCCGAGCACGCAGGGCTGCCCGTGCCCCCCAACTTCAGCTCAGAGGGGGCGGCTTGGGCTGGCTCCTCTAGCCACCAGGCAGGAGGGCAGAAAGTCACATTTGTGCTTCATCAAGGTGACACCACATGACAGCGTTATGTGAGCCTCAGTGTGCGCCCCGAGAACCCACCGAGGCCTCCATGACACCAGGTTCACCCAGAGTCCGTCTGCCCTCCACACAGCACCCCCTTTCCTCCGTCGGCCCCCTTCCTGCCGGGAGCTAATAGTGGCCTCCTCTTAGCGGCCAAAGTCCGTCCGTCTCCGCTGGCTCGCCCGCTTGTTCGCTTGTGCCCTGCACCCCGAGAGGCCGGTGGGCTTCCCTGAGCATGGCGGGGAACCCCTCCGCGCCGCCTTTCCCAGAGGGTGACGTGTGGGTCACTCTTCAGAGCTGCCCCAAGCCCCCACCTGTGTGCGTGTTGGGGGGTCCCCCGCTTCCAGCTGTGTTTCATTTGCTACCCAGGTCTCTTGACTTGCCGGCTGTTTATGCAACTAAAACTTGGGGACCCTACTGCCTACCCCCATGCGCCTATGCTCCCCCAGCTCAGTGCCTGCAGCCTCTCCCCCCACCCCGGCCACCGTCTGCCTCAGCCGTCGAGCTCCGCCCGCGGTCCGGTCCATCTAGCAAGTCTCACCGGGGCGGCGGCAGCGGCGTCTGCGGAGTGGAGAGAAGCAGAAGTTAGGGCTCAGTCCGGGGCCACCTTCTGGGGTTTGCGACTAAGAGCCACAAATGCCAGCAACCCGGGCCTCCGCGCCGCCCTCCCGAGCTGCTGGGAGCGCCTGTGCAGTCGCTTACCTGGCTTCTCTTCATGCGTGCGTCCCCTGAAACAGAAGAGGGAGCACAGGTTAGTTTGTGGGGAGCCCCCAGCTGCTGCTGCAGAGGCTTAGCGGGGAACCCTGTTGGAATAATCCCTTGCTAATGCAAGGCCCCCTGCCCCCAGCTGCCACCCCCACCCTGTTACCCTGCAGTGATGGGGTCTCGCTCAGCCTTCCCCTTTGTAGCTCCTGTGGCGGGGGGCGGGGACACCCAAGGCCCTCTGCACCTGTCTCCTTCCTCCAGCCCTGCTGCCCTTTATCCGATGCCTTAGAGGAAAACAGCGCCGTTTCCTGGTTGGTAGCCTCTCTGGGGGCCCGGGTGCAGCTCCTGCGTCTTAGGGGTGACAGAACTGAGGACGAACAAGGACAGTGGCTTGGGGCCGCCCAGCCCCCGGGGAGGCTGAGAGGGGCCTGGAAAGGACTTTGCTGGTGTGGAGGTTGTTTCTCTTCCAGGTTCAGCCCCGAGCTGCTTCTGGAGCTTAGTGGGGCAGTGGGCATGGGGGTCCGTGGGCACCAGGGGCCTGTAGGCACGGAGGGAGGGGTCAGTGGGCACTGCCGGGGCCGCGGGCAGCAGGGTCAGCAGCCACAGAGTCATTCCCCCGGGCCTGCGCTTCTGTTTGAGGCTGCACAAGAACTTGCCCGACCCTGGCGCATCTTACTGCTCGCTCACTCGTGGCTCCAGGGTGGGCATGAGCGAGGCGGCCTCACCTCAGGGTCAGTGAGCGAGAGGCAGCCTCACTGTCACATCCCGCAGCCCTGGTCATCTCCCCGATAAACACGGCCAGTGTCTGGTTCTGACGGCGGGAGCCTTGTTAATAGCCGAAGACAGCCCAGATGTCTGGAACAGCGGAGAAGCTACGTCTTGAAGCTGAGTCTCTGGAGTCTGAATCCTGATACTGCTGTTTCCTAGGTGGGGGGACTGGCAGGTGACCATTAAACAAGGGACAGAAGCAAAGTGGACGGCTGATTTCCTCATCCGGCAAAGCAATCAAGGGTCCTCAGGCTTGGTCAGCTCCCGTGAGGGCTAAACAGCCGGGTCTCTTCCGCTCGTGGCTTTTCATGGTGACTGTCCTCTGTGGGGCGTTAGTCAGGGGCAGGGCCCAGCTGGCCTCCCTGCCGAGGGGCGCCCCGTGCCCTCTGCCCCGGAGGGTGCCCACCCCAGGGCGCCCAGCCTGGCCCTGCCCCTTCTGGAAATCCTCTGGGCGGGCGCCCTAGCCAGCTGGCGGCCGCCGGTAACTACACCCCCCACGACTGTCCTCGTTTGCTCCTCAGGCTGAGCCAAGTTTGACTTGAGCTGCAGAATCTACTGCTTCTTGGGAGGTGGCGCGCAGGGCGGCGGTGGGGCCTGCCGGGCGTGTGGCCGTCCTGCAGCAGCCGGCGGCCTGAGGCCAGGAGGGGCCGGCGGGGCTGGGGCGCTCCTGGCTGCGGATGGTCGAGCAGACCCCCTCCACCAGGCGTCTCCAGACCCGCTCTCCCAGGGCCGGTGGGCCGGTGGTCACAGTTCCAGACATTCACTAGGGCACTTCTACAGAGCCACTAAAGAAGAATGATAGAAACGTCACTATGTCAAAAAGAAGGTCTCAGCTGCTCCAAACATGACGCCTAACGATCGCACTGTGAGTTACCCGGCTCTTGAAGCTATTTATCTGTCATGTCTATGGTGGGAACTCGAGATGCCCGTTCCAAGTGCACACTCAACCATCAAGCTGGCTGCGTGAATCTGGCTAAACTTCCAGGCGTCCTGATGGACTGCTTTGCAGCTTCGTGTAAGCTTAAAGCGACAGAGATGTGCTAACAAGGCACATATAGGCGTTCTGTGTCCCCTTGTGAAAAGAAAATGAAGGAAGCAGACCAGTATTTGGAAAACGGCATCCGTCTCAACTCAGAGGCTGTTCACGTCATTTAATCTTGACTAGCTCCAGAGACAAGAGGTTAGCAAAACTCAACACAAGCGCTGTGTGAACTTCAACTGGCTTCATGGGTCACTGATGAAGACCTCTGACTGCCGTTTGGAAGTTGTCTGCTACCCACCTTTCTATCGGTCAGTCTGCAACACCCGTATATACGTGCATGCTCAGACTTCTCTGAGGTGCTGTGTGAGTATAACTTGTAAAAATAGGGGCCACTTTGAAGAGACGCCAGCAGCGAGCAAGCTGTTGCTCCACATCTTCGTTGGCATTTGGTGTTATCAGTGTTCTGGACTTTAGTTATTTTCACAGGCGTGTGGTGGTCGCTCACTGGGGTCTTAATTTGCATTTTTAAGTTCGTCACAGCATTTGAGAGGGGACGGTGAAGATAGTTTGGCTAATGTCCTGCATCTACACTGCACCTCGGAACCCCCAGAGCAGAGAGGTCACCTTAGGGTTCCCTCCTGCTGCTGAACCTCCTATGGAGTTGGACAAATGTACCATGACGTTTCTCCATCACTCTAATCTCATACAGAATCTGCTCCTGCTCTGCCTGTTCATCTTCCCCCCAGCCCATAATCTTGGCAACCACTGACATTTGTATTGTCTCCATAGTTTTGTTTTTCCAGCATAAAGTACGAAGTCACTTTTCAGAGTGACTCGTTCCACAGACCTTGAAGAATCCTCCATGTCTTTTCACGAGTCGGTGATTCATCTCTTGCGTGCTGAATACCATTCCATGGCCTGGATGGACCACCGTCCGCTTATCCATTCACCTGCTGCAAGACAGCTTCCAAGTTTTGGCACATCTGTGCACAGTTTCCTTTTTCTGGGTTGATGTAAGTTTCTAGTCCTTTCGGTAAATACCAGAAGCACAGTGTCTGGATCAGAGGGGAAGGACACGTTTGGATGTAAGAAATTGCCAAGCCATCCTTGTGCGTTGCTGAGTCCCTCCAGCAGTTGAACAGAGGTACCGGGCTTCATGGGCGTCTGGCTGCCAGTTTTGCATTTTGGTTGTTCTAACAGGTGTTCAGGGGCAGCTCACTGTGCTCGTAACTAGCATTTCCCGATGACACAGGATGCCAAGCGCTAATGCTCCAGTGAGCTGAGTGACCAAACACACACTCTTGGTACGTCCACCTGTGACGTAGAGGCTGGAACAGAAGATATGTGGGACCAAGAATTTGGTTCTTGACAGAGAGGCAGTGATGGCAGGACACATCCCACACTGGGCTTCTGAAGTCATTCGAGCTGGGCTCCAGTCCTGCCCCTCACCCACTGGCACCTGTGACTGCCCCGGGCTTCAGTTTCCGTGGCGCGAGCACTCACGTCAGGGCAGCGCCTCGGGTGGGCAGGGCTGAGCAGAGTAATACTTGCTTTTCTGCGAACCACCATTCGGTTTGCGCTAAATGTATATGATGGCCTTTCTCTATAAAATCTGATTATAAAAATCAACAGTGTCAGGGAGAGAACATCAGTCTCATGCTCTGTAATTAGAGAAATGGACTCTGGGCTAACTGGGTAAAATTTGGCCTCAATTACGTATTTATTATGTCTAAGAGTCTCAGAGTAGATGACAGTGAACCATTAGGCTCCCCGGTCCCGATGATTAATTATAGAGAAGCCCAAAGAAGCGGCTTAGGATCGAAGTGGCTAATGCATATTTGACAGGGCCTGTTCGAGAAATCTGTCCAAGTTTGTGGAAACTTTCAGAAATTAATTCCAGCGATAAATTGCTGAAACCATTCCGGGGTGGGGGGGGGGGGGATTTAGTCAGGCAAAGCTTTAAGAGCTTCTCGGATGAGGCCAGAGAGTCGTGTGATTTTCAAACACTGGCATTTGAGCCCTGAGTTCCACAGCTGTGTGCCGGGGTCGTGAGGGATGAGGGAACTGAGTGAGGAAATCTCTTTCCCAAACAAGCCCGGGCCTCTGTGACCCAGGTCTCCTGGGAGTGGAGGGAGAGTGGGCAAGCGGGCCCGAGCACAGCGTGAGTGTGGGAATGGGAGCTGAGCTGGGGCGGGCGGGCTTGTATGTGAGGAGCCCGCTCACAGATTCCCTGAATGCTGGGGACACCCCGAGAAAAGAGACTCACGCCCAGGTCACTGAGCGCCAGTACCCAGAAGAAGCACGAGCTTGGTTGAGAAGCCAAGTGGAATTCTACGGGTGCCCTCAAAAGACTTCTGCTGGCTTGCTTTTAGCCAAATTTAGATGCTGAAGCAATTCTACAGATGGGATCTGGAGGCCCAGGGAGAGAATATAATCTGCCTGCGTGTAGGAACAGAGACAGAGCTGAGGCCAGAAACAATCCGGGATTGACTTGGGCATGGTTTGACTTGGGTGTGGGAAACCCGAGGGGGCAGCTCTAATGCGCCTTTCCATGGCTGACCTCCTAGGCTTCTAGGGTTGGTTCAGCAAACACCTCGAAGGCGCCAGCCCACAGGGGCTGGGAGCTCGCTGCAGAAAGATGACATGAGTGAGCTGGGTCTTCCTAGACTGGCTGTGTGGGAGAGCTGCGAGGTTTCCCCAGAGAGAATGGCGGGGCCAAGGCGAGTCCAGAGTGTCCCCAAGAGCCGGGCGGCCAGCTCCTCCAAGCAGCCCCGGGGCTCTCCATTCCCTCCATGCTCCACTGGAAGTTGTTACACCTTACAGGACCCTCAGGGCCTCGCGTCCAGTCCGTGGCTGCTGGGTGGACCCTGCGCCCCGCCCCTGTGGCACCCGAACCTCCAGGGCGCCCACTTGCCGCGGGCTCCGCTCGGCGCTCCTTGCGTCTCCGGCGGCGGCTGCTTCGCGTTTTCAGCGGGAAAGTGTCTCTGCGGCACCTGCGGTCACCGCGCTCCCCTGGACTCCGCACCGCGTCTTTCTCGGCGTGGAGGTGCTCAGACGACACACGGGGGCGGCCAGCGTGCAGGTTCCGACTTCACCTGTGAGCTGGACATTGCACCATGCCTCCCTGCCCCCGGGTGAAGGGCAGTGCCCGCAGGCACGGGCCGCGATCTCCCCGTGGGGCAGGTGGACAGAGAGCCCGGAGCCCTCGATGGATCTTCTGGGCTGTACGCGGGAGCAGCGGCAGGCCAGGCGCCGAGGCGGCACGCGCGGGCCAGCGGGCCTGGCAGGAGGCGGAGCCAGTCCTCGCAGCTCCCCACGGATCTTCAGGCTCTTTCTCTGGGCGCTCCGGGGTTCTCTCTCTTGTTGACCTGTGGCCTGGCCTCGTCTGCAGCCGCCCGGCTGGCCCCGTAGCCTGGTCTGTCGCTGAGGGACGCCGCCCTTCCAGCCCGCCCCTCGGCCAGGTGTGCCCGCCCCTCGGCCAGGTGTGCCCGCCCCTCGGCCAGGTGTGCCCGCTCAGGCCCACGCACCCGCACGCACGTGTCCACAGTCAGCGAGCCGCGAGCCCCCAGCGTGCTCCCAAGCGCCTTCTGCATTAACAGCACACGGCCGCAGGTGACAGCCACGCCACACAGGTAGAGGCAAGCCTGAGTAAGTCACTGACCCTACAGGTGGGCTGCGGCGAGTCGAGGTCAAGCCTAGCGCGGTCGGTAGCGGGTAAGCAGCGGGTTACGGCTACCACCCGGGCAGGCGGTGCCGCGCTCGGCCGCCAGGGGGCAGTGTCGGCCGCCGTTTGACCCCGAAGCCGGCGGGGGTGCTGGGCCTGGGCTGGGACCTCCAGGGAAGCTGCCGCGCGAGGGACCGAAGCAAACACAGCTCCGCCCGGTGCAGCCCGAGAGGGGTGCGGATGGCCAAACGATTACCCGCGGGGTGACCGCGCAACCGCGTCCCGGCTAGGCTTCCCGGCGTGAAAGCAGGAATTGAGCCAGATTATCGTGAACTCAGCTCCGACTCTCATTTCTTTGGCATCTAAATTCACATAAAGGCACAGCAGCAGAAAGGAAAGACCTTTCTTTGTGAAAGGCGAAAAGGAACCCCACGTTGCGTGTTTCAGCGAGGCTCATGTTTCTGGTTTTAGTGCTCAGCCTCCCGTGCTTAATTCTTTCTTTCCAGACGGCATATTGCATTTCTTTACTAGCGCATCCTAGAATGTGGTGTGCTTGCCACCTCACTGCAAACTGGTTTAGAGTTTATGGCTGGTTCACAGCTAAGGCTGGGAGAAATTTGTCTCAGGGTCCTTTACTCTCGGCACTAAAGAGCTAAGCGCTCTATATTTGAATGTTACATCTGTCCCCATCTAAAAAGCCAGTTTCTTCCAGACTCTGGTAATGCTGACTGACGGTCAGGCCAAGCAGCTTAACTCCTTCACTCCCAAACTTTTACCCATTTTTTAGGAATGAAAAAAAGGTAAAACTTTGGGAGAGAAAAGTTCTTGAAATCTGATAGTTTCCAGATAATGTCAGAATCTTGCAAGAAAAATGACAGGAAATATACATTAACATAAATCTATAACTGCTCAGCTTGATGAAAAATATCACCATAAAATTCTGCCATTACTGAACCGCCGATATGTTTTTCTATGACATTTTGTGAGAATGAATAAATTATCTGAGAATGCGCTTGCATCAAAACTACAGAAATTTATAATAAACACATAAATCATTTCAAGCGTTTTCCAGAAAGATGCCTGGTCCCCCAAATGGGGGCATTCATATTAATTTCCCCTTTTCAGCTTTCTTCTCTGCAGAGCACCTCAGAGCTTTGAGGGGTAAAGGAGAGCCACTCCCCACTCTCACTGAGGGGAGCAGCACCCCACCCTACCACCTACACAGCTGGGAGCCTCGTTTCATGGAAGCCCTCTCTATTGTTACGAGTCATTTACAAGAAGCTCTTAGGTTCTCAAAATCGCCCAGTAGCCCCATTAAAATCGAAAGCGTCAACTTAACTCTGAAATCCGAGTCCTCTGTTGCTTTCGAGACTGGTTTGCTTTTTGTTATAACAACTCATGTCCATCAAGAAGCATGGGTCCCCTTTTGCCCAGACTGCCGGGAAGCTCAGAGAACACTGTTTACTTTTGGCAGAATGTGGTGTCACATGCTGAGGACCTGAATTTTTGCTCTTCGCTATGTAGGCTGTAGAGACTTTTCCCTACGATTTTTATTTTTTTCCGTAATGTGGGCGTTTTTTGGTTAATGACTCCAATATCTTCACGAGCCGAGGCAAAGTGTAGCTGACTCTTGGACGGACAGTTATGATGTTGTGATTTATAACGTCTCCTCTTTGCCCCTGTCCTGGCACAGAGCTTCTAGCCCCTGGGCCTTCCCAAGGGGCTGGCTGTGAAGTATGTTATGGTAAGGAGGCACCTGTGGCCTCGGAGGCTGGGGCTGGGTGCCAGTGTAGACGCCCGGGTGACCTGAGGTTAGAACTCACAGTCCGGCCCCTCCAGCCACCTCCTGAGGGGCTTGAAGCTGCGTTCTGTCACTGAGGGTCAGTGCAATTAACCTAGCCTACGTAATGAAGCCCCTGGGTTCAGAGGGCTTCTGGCTGGTGAACAGGGGGCAGTCTGGGGAGAGGGCAGAGGCGGGGGTGGGGGGGCTCCCGCCTCTCCCCCTCACCTTGCTCCCATCTGGCTGCTCCTCAACTCTCTCTCTCTCTCTTTTAATATTGTGTCTATTACATCAGCCTTCATTTGGTACGTTCTTCATCTCAGCTGTAACCCCGTGGACTTCCCACCACCGCTTCCCCCCTGTGCCATCACCCTAGTCCCGGGCGCCCTTCCGGCCCCCCCCCCCCCGTTTTGATCCTGTTCCTCTCTCCACCCTGTAGAGTGGCTTATCTTTTATAGTTGTTTCTTTTCGTTTTCACTTCATTACAATTGCTTCTTCTTATTTTTTTTCTGATCCCTGACACCCCTGCTACGAGTGAAACCAGCTGGTTCAAATGCCCCAAATAGGTGCCTGGGTCCCACAGATGTGGCGCATACACACGATGGCACAGTGCCCTGGCCCGTTCTCCTGCGGCTGCGTGGCCGGCGTGAAGGGCTGCTCCGAGCCGCGTTCTAGCAAAAGGTTCAAACCGAGCCTGGGGCGTCATCTGCGTCCCTCAGGACCGCACCTCTGACTCTCCCATCAAACAAGAGACAAAGGTACTAGGCACGTCGCAGGGCCATGGACGGCTGACAGGCCTCAGTTATCGGGACTCACACGTCATCTCTTCCAGAGGGACGTTGGAAGAAAGAAGATGCCCTGGTAGCTAGATGCTGCTGTATTTCCAGGGCTGTCCTGGGTCCATGGTCCCAGCGCTGCTGAAATGGATTATTTCCTCTCAGCAGCCTCCCTGTATCTTCAACTCAAATTGAGTTGCTTTGCCTAAAGCTTTAAGGTCTGTTTTCATATTAATTAATCAACATTTTAAAATTGGATTTCTACCTTATTGTGAGTTCACTAGGCTATGCTTCAAGAAATAACACAGCCATCTATTTTACACGATCCATACGTTTCGAAACGATTCCTTTCCGAAACTGCCCGACACCCAATATGCGTTTTCACGATCAATGCTCCATCAATAAGGTAAGGTGATTAGAAAGGCATAAGATGTGTGAGCTGCTTTCTGAAATTAGTTTGTAAAGGAGAGTTCCACAGGCCACCTCGCTTAGGGATACCCACGGCCACACAGTGGTCGGTACACGAGGAGCCCGAGGCAAAGGAATAAACTCGCCAGGCGTCGTGAGGGGCTTTACCTTGGCCGTGGTGGCTTCTGGCGTCCTGGGAAGTGGGCTTGCTCACCTGCAGGAGACAACAGGCAGCGTGAGCGTCCAGGCTGGCCCCGGGGCCTCTGACGCCCTGTCACCCTGGCAGGCCGGATGACGGGAGATCATTCTATAACCAGACCTTAACGGGAGAAGATAGGAGAGCCGGGCCTGAACGAGACGGCGCCGGGCTGAGAACGGGCTGGCAGGGAATGCGCCAGCGAGCTGGGCCGGGCAGCCCCAGCTGTGTGTCTCATGCATTTCTGCAGTAAGAAAACGAAACAGGCGCTCCCTGGGGTGGGGACAAGCCGCAGCACTGTGAAGCTGTCCTCAGCCACTGCAGCGCCAGTTGGATCCCTGGCCGGGGGAGACCCCAGGGCACAGCAGACCCCTCCTGCCTCCCTGCTGCTCCCTCAGCAGTGGATTTCAGGGCACCTGCTTGTTCTGCTCCCCACTCTGTCTCTAGGGAGTCCTCTCATCCTCCACCTCTGGCCTGCACCCCAACTCTTGTATGTATAAATAAGTGAGTCGTAAAAAAAAACAAACACAGAAAATGAAACACTAGCACTCCTTTTGAGTGAGCGCTGGAAATTCTCCTGCTTTGTAACTGAGGCTCCGGGAGTTTGCGAGGACTCCTTAGCCCTGGCCAGCGGTGGCCACGCGGAGCTTAGAACTTAGGGCAGATTATGTCCTCAAGGGGTTGGAGCTCGAGTCTGCCCCAAGGGCTGCGCCCAGCCCGGAAGACGCCTGGCTCCGGCCCCAGCTGGCCCCTGGCCAGCGGTCCTTCTCTTTTCTGGGCGCTGCACCAGCCGTGGGGTCCACCCCCACCCCGTCCCTGGACCCGACCTGCTCACCACCGGGGAGACGCTGGCAGCGGCTGGGGGTGGCCCTGGGGGCCGCAGGGGCTCTGAGGGCCACACAGTCGGCGCTTACTCACGTCTTCCAGCCTCACGTGCGCCATCCAGGCCTCTCTGTCCGCGGGGACAGAGGCCGCGCTGTCCCGGGCAAAGGGAGCGTCCATCACGGCCTGGAAGCAGCGAGTGTCTGCGGAAAGGGAGGCTTCAGACTCCTGGCGCGCCACAGTCCGTAACAGAGGCGTCTGCAGACGCGAGGAGCCTCTCCTGCTCGCGGGGGGCGCTGGAGGGGAGGAGCCCCCACTTGGTCCCACGCGCCCGCGGCGGAGTCTGGACTCGAGCACCCCTCACCCGGGGCCACGTGGGAAGGTCAGCTCGCCCTCAGCTCGGCTGTGGCCCCTGTACCCCTTGGGAGCTCGGAACCCCACACCTTCCCTCAGACTCCTTCGCCGAGCCGGGGTCCTGTCAGCGCTCAGGCCTCAAACCTCGGCCCCGCCCCCCCACTCCCCCAAACAATGTTGCCCCAAGTTGGCCGAAGGCAGAGGCGCCCCGGGCTCCCCGGGGTAGGAGGCAGCCTGCTGGGGATCGCGTTGTCCTCCATGCCTGGGCGTGATGGGCATCCTGCGCTCCCGGCGTGGGGTCAGCTGCAGGCTGAGTCGCTGGGCCGCGGGGACAGCCCCTCCCGGCCCTCCCTCCCCTCTCCCCCTGTCTTACAGGTCTCTGCGCCCACCTGCCTCGCTCTGCCAGGCTCAGGGGCGGGCCCCAGGCTGGGAAGGGCAGGGGCTGCGGTCGCCCAGGGCTACCGAGCCTGGTTCTACCCCGCCGCCCCCCTTCACAGGCGAGAAAAAGGGCTTCCCCAGCTGGTCACAGCGTCAGCGGGAGATGGCTCTGGTTGGCCCCAGAGCCCTCGCCCTTGCTGACCAGCGTGCGGCCGTGAGGACAGTGTGTCCAGACCCCGGGAGCCCCGGAGGTTACCTGCGTATTCTGGTTCCTTGATGGGCCTGGTCTGGACGACCCTCACGGGTCGCCACCTCTCTGCCACACAGAGCCTGGGGTCCTCGTATTCGTCGTCTCTGTGGGCTTTTATTCCATCCAGGGAGGCAGCAAAGTTCCCTTCCTAATGGGAGGGAGCCTCAGTGAGTGGTGGGCGGTGACGGACAGAGCCTGAAGGCCCGAGAGGGCCTCTCGCTGCCGGGCAGTCAGGTCCCAGGGCAGGCAGGGTTCTACACAGTGCCTGCGTCGGTCACAGGATCTGGGCACGCCGCGAGCGGACTCTGAGGGTGCAGCTGCCTTGAAAATAGGGAGGTTACCCTGGTGACAGCGGCCCAGGGCCATCCCACGGGCTCTTCAAAATTGGTGAGCGGCTGAGGCCAGACTCCAACACCCTGCCCAGGAGAGCCTCAGACCCACTGTGGGCCCTGGCGTGGGCCGAGCACCCCCCTCCCATGACAGCACCCCCGCCATGATAGCATGTGGGGCAGGGGACCCTGGCTGGAGGGAAGGGCACCCCCCCCCCCCACCATTGAGAGAGCCTGCACCAGCCCTGCAGACTTGCTCCAGCACCATACAGAAATGCCTTGGCTTACTTCTTTCCAGAAAGAGACAGTTTTAAGTATAATGAGTTATACCAATCCCAGGAGTCAGGGGATCTTTTTTTTTTTAAGATTGATTTATTTATGCATGCAGGAACTGGGTGCAGGCCATCAGTATAGGGGGTGAGAAGATTCACAGAGACAAAATGGGGAGCAGAACAGGCAGATCGTGCAAAGCCCACTGCTGAGGGAGCAGCGGGCGGGCCAGGAGAGGTCCGGCCAGGAGAGGTCTGCCGCGCCAAGCGGGTCACCCCCAGGCTGGGGACCTAATTCGCCCTGCAGTGGCTGAGGACAGCCTCACAGTGCTGCGCTTTAACCCCTTGCGCCACCAGGGCGGGCCCTCCAGGGCTTCCTAACCTGTCTCTAGCTATCCATCCTTCCACCGCCCAGGTCAGTCCATCTATATCCCACCCATCAGCCACAGATACGTTTGTTAAAACTATTGAGATTATGGATACATTTGATAGTAAAATTACTTATACTGTATATATTAGACACTTGCTTTCATGTTATAAATGTTAATCATCAAAAGTTTTAGTAAATATTATTAATAACATCATGATATGATTATATCATAATGTTCAATTATTTTTCTACTGTTGAATATTTAGTATGATTCCAACATGTTGCCATTTAAAATACAATGTTATAAAATATGAATGTGTGTGTTTAAATATTAATGCAAATTTTAGGTTAGCTTCTTAAATTCCCAACCATAGAATTATTGGGTCACAGAACATGGACATTTTTCTAGTTAATATTAATATGGTTAGTTAATATTACGAAATTGCTTTTCAGAACGTTTGTTCCAATTAACACTGGACCATGAGTTTAGAAGGGTGTTCTTCCTGTCACGCACTTGCCAGTACCATGTTCTGATATTTTCACCTTCTCCAGTCTAACAACCACCAGGGAAATGAATTTTTGTCTCCATTTCATAGCGGACGGATTGGAATACAGTTTTATAACCAAGAAATGCAGTTTTCCTGCCAGGAAATTGTGTCATCTGAAAGTCTGTCTTCCTTGCAGAAAACCACTTACTTTGTTAAAAGCAAAGACTGAAAACTCAGTAAAGGGGTGACTGACTTACGCAATCCAGAAGCGGCTCCTTGATCGCCTGGTACTGACCTGCAAAAAAACAGCCAGCGAGTTACTGCAAAATGCTGAGAAGACTTGGCCCTTGTTTCTCTCCAGAAATCTGTGCTCCTTGTGATTAACTTTCTGGACTGTAAACGCTCAGTATGAAGTAGCTATGCAGTTTCTCCTTCTCGCAAGGGCTCTTGCAACAGGGTCATTGGAACAGAAGGGAGGGAGGGGCCCAGCCGGGCAGGCTTGCTCTCTCGCGCTTAGGTGGGACACGACGGCAGAGACCCCCATCAGCTCCGCCCGAAGTCGGGGCCCAGCAGCATCTCAGCCAGGGGCAGGCGGTCTGCCCGGTCTTCTCCCCACGACACACACGTCCACTTGCAGTGACCTGTCCACAGTCTGCCTCCTTAAAGGGCTCAGTGTTTCGGGGCGGGGTGAGCCACGCGGATCAGCTCTGCCCATAACCCTGAGTGACTGTCGTCCTCCACCTGCGGGTTTTCAGGCTCAGCACCCGCACGCGCACGGTGCTTGAAAACCGTCGGACAGTCGCCAGGCGCATTCTTTACTCTGCACTTTCAATTTACCTTCGGTCACGCAAAACCACGACCGTCCGCTCCGGCCACCTGCAGGCGTGCCGCTTCCTGGTGCCTTGATTTCCCTAAGTGGCATCACAGTCTCATTCTTAGTCTACATGGAAAAGCATCGTAGGCAACATTTGTTCTTACCCTAATCCCTTTATTAGCACACAGGAGAAGTTTCTAGCAGATGTCAGGACGAGAGCTGTGTGCTTCTTAGCAGGCTGATTTACGAGCAAACGCCAGCCCCCTGGGAGATCACCTCTCCCTTCCTTCCGCTGAAATCTCGGGGCAGGTTTCTGACTGTGTGCAGGTAGCATGAGACCACGCGGCTGTGTTTCTGCCTCTGGCTCTGTCTTCATTCTTTTCTTAAACTTTCATCCTTTAACCCTGAGTTCTCTTGCCACACCAAACAGGAAATAAACCACTGCAAGCGTGTGCCAGCTTGCCCAAGCCCTTCGCCCGTGGATGTGTGAGTGGCTGGGCTCTGGCTCAGGGGAAACCCGCCCTCTGGGATTTGCCAGTGAACTCAGGCTGAGCAGCCGCCCCCTGGCAGGTGCCAGACCACCCTGGGCACCAACTTCCTGCCCCCGCCCTCCTCACCCCAACCGAGACCCCAAACCCCCAGGCTTCCCAGGCCTTCAGACTAGCAATGTGTACCCTCCGGTGGACTGAGCAAATCGGTGAGGTCACCCTTACAGACGGGCTGGCCTGGAGGGGAACCATGAGCAGCATTGGGGGCCTCCGTTACCATCTTCACGACCCAGGAAAGCAGCTAGTTCACGGTTGGATTCAGGGTTCAGTGTAACTCCACGTGGGGTCAGCGCCGCAGTGACCATGACCGTCCACCCACCCACCCTGTCTTCTTTCCCCAGGGCAGCACTGCGGACCACACCCCAGCTTCCCAGGCAAGCTTCCTGCCCCTTCTGGCCCCAAGAGTGCTGATTCCACCTAGAACCCCCCTCCCGCCTCTCCCTCCTCTCCCCCATTTGCTTTCCAGACGCTCAGGGGACCCTTCAGCTGGTCGCGGGGGTCCCGAGCCTCGCGAGCGAGGGCGGCTGGGTCCTGCTCACCGGCAGCACAGAGCGCGACAGCCGCGGCACTGGCCGGGCGTGCTGCCCTGCAGGGGCCGCCTTTGGTCGCCATCCTCGCAAGGCTGCGTGTGCTGTTGGCGGTGAGAGGAATGTCGAAAGCATCGCTTCGAGCGAAGTCACACCATGGGAGACACCAGAAACAAAACGGACAAACAGGACCCGGTAAATCGGTCCGCGCCCTCCCCGCGCACCGGCCGGCCTCCCGCCCCCGCCCTCTCTCGCCCGCCTGTTTCCGCTTCGTCTCTGCGCCGCAGCTCCGCTAACCTCCTTCCACCTCAGCAATGCTGTCCTCAGCCCAGAACCTTCTGCCCAGGTTCTGTCCATGCCTGGTGCTGTCCCCCACCCGGTGGTCATTTCCCTGGGGGAGCTGTCCTGACCCCAGGCTCAGCGGCAAAGCAAGGGCCCTCTCCTGCCCTGGCCCTGTGCTGCCTCGCGTGTCCAGCGTGCCCCGCAGGGCAGGCAGGGAGCTTGCTGGGGGCTTGCTGGGCCCGTCCCTTCCCCTCCCCACGGGTGCTCAGTTCGAGAGCGTTTCCCGCGTCCTTGACGCGAGCATGCTCCAACCCTTGCGGTTTCCATAGTGTCTTGCAAACTTTAAGACATCTTCTCGAGGAAGCCAGCTTTGGGGCTCACCACTACACAGCGGACCTCTGGTCAGAGATAAGAATGGCACGCACGGCCCCAAACGGATGCCCTTGAGCCGGCCCGTCCCGACTTAATAACCTGTGATGGTTTCAACCTGTGCCCAGCCAGGCCGCGCAAGTAATGGAGGCTTTGCAATACCGAAGATGCGCCAGCAGGGGGCACTGTCTGTTCGCATATTCTACCCCTGCCTTTCCTCTCGCAAGTCTTAAAATCCTTATTCATTTTTTTAAAAAGTGGACAAAAAACAAACAAAAAAACCCCACAAAAAACCTTCATGACCAGTATCCTAGAAAACTGAAAAAAGAAAGTGTTTTGGGACAAAATGAAATTTCCTGTCTGTTTAATTCAAGCAGACGTTATATATCTTTAGCAGAATTTTTATTGTGCTCCGTGACATCAGCTAGAAGGAGCCACAATCTAAGTAGAGCGATGGCTCCAATTTAGTTCTCCGCTGAGTGGGAGGGGGAAGCCCCCGAGTTATTTTCGAGGCAAGCGTGTCGCCCATATCTGCACGGCACTCTCACAGGAGACGGGGGTGCTCGTAGGGCCCCCACGTTTCAACATGTGCCTGTCTTTCTCAGGCTGTATCTTTTAAAAATAGATTGTTTTTGCATACAGAAATGCATTTATTATAGAAAAAATAATACAAAGAAGAGAAAATGATACAAAGAAGAGAAAAAACCCACACCAATGTTCCGATACTGAGACACTTAGTAGAAAAGCTGATTATAACTAAGCCACAGACTACAGGGTGTATCTGTGGGATCACACTGTATGCCTACTGTACTTTCTTTTCAAGCATATATGTTTCTGAATTTTATTTATTTATTTTTTTGTGTAGAAGACCTGGGATACAGCTCAGAAGTGCAGGGAGTGAGAAGATTCATCAGAGACAGGGCAGAGAGAGGGCAGGTGGATCTACTGAACACACTGCTGAGGGAGCAGGGGGGGGATGGGGGAGGTCTGCTGTGCCCCGTGGGTCGCTCCCTGGCCGGGGAGCGAACTCAGGCTGTGACAGTGATAGTGCTGAGACTCAGTTCCTGGGCCACCAGGGAGGCCCCGTCCACTCTCTTCTTGCCTGCTTTTTCACATAATGGCACGATATAGCACACACCTGTTATTAAATGTGCTTCCACACCAACATCATTTTTGCTGGCTGCATAGTAACCCCCAGATGTCTTTCCCATCATATTTTCAACTAGTCCTGGGTTAAAAGAACCTCAGATGACTTAGAAGTGTCGGGAAACGGTATAGACAGCACTGTGAAGAGCAGTAATTCATCAGCGCGCCCTCAGCTGCTTCCTCTGTTCTACTTGAGTAGAGCGAGCAGAGGCTCGTACGCACCTGTTAGGGTGCTTTGCTGCCCGGCATCTCTGGCAGGGTGTAGATTCTGTGGGGACCTGCAGCCCCGGTCAGTTTCATCTCCATCGATGTTTTGGGGGTTCTGATTTGATTTCTGTTCCCTGTTGTGCCTCTAGACACACATGGTATACGCCTGCATCAGCTTCTCCCTCCTCAGGAAGGTGAAGTGCAGGTGGGAGGCAGGGCTGCAGGACGTGACCAGCGGTTCCCCAGCACACTGGTTCCAGGCCCATCCCCTGCAGACTCCTCTAGACTCCCCAGGTCTCAAGAGCAGAAGGGAAGGGGAGCTGGCTGGCCGGCAGGCCGAGGGGATTTACTAGAGACCAAAGTTTCCAGAGCAACTTGGAGGCATCTACCTGAGAGAGCGCAGACTTCGCCAGGGCCCGCGGGGAAGCTCCATAAAGCATTTCTGCAGGAGGGGAGCATTTCTGGTGCTCCCCTCTCAGTGGGGCTACGCCCGGCTTTGATTCGGCTCTTCTGCTGTTTCAGGGGTTCAGGGGGGCTGAGGGTGCTGGCTCCAGGCTGGAAGGGCACCGTGACAGCCTTTGGACCACCCGTGCGGACTGCAGCGCCCCTGTGATTTCTGTCACACCCCTGCGTCTTCATCTTGTCTCCGTCTCTGCTTTTCCTGCCTCACTCCTGTATCGCTCTTAGCCACGAGCTGCCTGGGGGCTCTCCCGAAATATCGATGTTTCAGGATGAAGCACATGCACTTTCACTCAGACTTTAATGGCCTCCCGTCAGGTGTGCAGCTAGGCCCTGAAGAGATGCCCGGGAAGCATGAGGTGTGGCTTCTGGTGCATTTACCCACGGGGACCGAACTGCCCAGCGGGACAGCACTCCTCGGCGGTTCTGGCTGGCACCCAGGCAGACCCATGCCCGCTGCCCAGAGCAGGGCGCAGCCCTGGGGATCTGCACTAGGTCCCACACACAGCCAATGGGGGGAGGCACGATGCCCCAGTCTGTCTGCCAGAGGGACCCCCAAGCTCGGGGGAGTCGCAGACGGGAGGCGAGAAGGACAAGACCCTGCGTGTGCTTGGTCACAGCACAGGCTAGCGCGCCATCGCGGGGAACACGCACAGGAATGGAGAGAACCTGAGACCCACAGGACTGCCCGGCGCGCAGGCCGAGCCCGACTCACCTGGGGGGCTGCTGACGCGAAGCCACGACCTAGGGCAGAAGAGAGACTGGGGTGAGGGTCAGCGGCCTGCAGCCCCGCCCCGGGGCGTCAGGTGGCCAGAGGCCTTTCGGGGTCAACCCTCTTTTTGTCGGTGTGGAGCCCCATGACAAGCTTCTGTGAGTTTCAGGTGTGCGTGTTACAAGCCATCACCTGTATCCAGGTGACGGGACGGCTGCTTATGTCCATGCTGTTCTGGCCAAACCAGCACCTCACTGCGGAGGACGCAGGAGACAGTAAATGCACGCGGAGGCAGAGAGGGGCCACGGCCGAGGGGCCACGGCCACGGGGCCACATGCAGGGCCCTCCCCGGGCCCAGGGCAGCCACGCCGCGGCTCCCAGCAGCCACCGGCTCCTTCGGACCTCTGCCTTGGGGCCCGGGTTTTCCGTTTCCGGCCTCGGCGGCCAGACTGAAAGCAACGCTGCCCCCTTTCAGGTGGCTCTGGGCCACGTGCCTTTCTTCCCTGCTGAGTTCCCTGTCCACGCCTGTGTCTGCCCTGCCGTCCACTCTTGGACGCAGTGCCTTGGCCCCCCCTTTTCCCAAGCTTCGGGCCCTGATCTGCAAAGCCCTGGGGCGTGGGTGCTGGGGCGGGTGACAGGCTTGGCTCTCTGCGCCTCCCGCAGGGCCGCCCGCACCTGCCCTCCGAGGCCTCCATCTGCGTCACGGGCGCAATTACCGAGCATCGCAACGCACACCGGGGTAAATATTTGTGAGGCCTGCTGGGCGCTGGGGTACTGGCACACAAGAGTTAAGTGTGGGCCGCTAGGAGCCAGGAGACGCGGCCCACAGCCCAGCTTCCGGCTCACGTGGTCCTGTTTCGCCGTTTTAACCCTCAGAGCCACCCTCTGGAGCTATCCCAGGTCCACGTGACAGTTCAGAATGTGGGGGCCTCAGTGGGGCCCCACACTCACCCAGACACACCGAGAGGGGAGAATTTGACACCAGCCCCTGACCCACCTTGGCCACCTCCCCGGCCCTCCCCTCGGGGCAGGGGCGAGTCACCCCTGGCGGCGGCTGGGACTGGGACCCTCGTGACAGGTCCTGGCGGCCTCTCCAGTCGCCTGAGATCCTGCAGAAGTCCACGGAGAAGCAGCCGGCCAGCAGGCGTTAATCAGGGGCTGAGGCTCTCCCGCCTCTCTCTGACATCTTGGTTCTTGGACTACCACCTCAGGGGTCTCCCCAGACTAACTTCTGGGTGCCAATTCTCCCCCGACGGGGGCGGGGGCCGGTGGGCCGCATGTCCCGTGGCGCCCTGCCTGCCGTCTGGAGGGCGTGGCCTGGCCAGGGGTGAGCCTATGATCCTCATGTCCAGGACTCTGGGGAGAAGGGCCGCTTTTAACTGGGACCCATCCTTCCCCCGACCTCTCTCGGTTTGTGGGCTCAGAGGCTGAACGCCCCAAGTGGGCTGGAGGTCGGCAGCTTGTTGTTCCACGTGGCAGCTGCCAGGAGGCAGAACGGAGGCCTCTCGGCACCCAAGGAAGGCGAGCGAGGGGCTGGTGTCTGCAGCCCACTCTGGCGGGCGGGCTCCCCACTCTGCCGCTGCCTCTAAGTTAAGCGGCTTGCCTTGAGGGCACCGTGGGCGAGGCGGGCAGTGGGCAGCGGGCAGCTGTCCGTGCTAGTGCCTGACACTCACCTGGAGCAGAGGCAGGCCCGGGCTCGCGGCTGCTGGGAGAGGCCGTCTGAAAGTGGCCTCTTGATCCGCCCTGCCTCCCCGGGGCCCAAAGCAGAGGCGCTCACTCATCTGTCATTTCCTCCGGGGTTATGCCCCCCAGGGCTCTCCCTGCGTCACTGCAGGCCAAGTGGATTAGCAGAGGCCGCTCTGGCGAGGCCGGGAAGGTGTTGTGACTCCAGCTGAGCCCGGAGAGGAGCGGAGGGGAGCGGTGCTGGGAGTTTGCCTCCGGGGGCCTGGAAGCAGGGGCGGGGGAGGCGGGCAGGGCGCCCAGTGACATCTGGCTGGACCCCAGCAGCTGACACGCGCTCTGCAAGGGCCCCGCGCGGACACCCCTGCACCTTCGCCGCCCAGGATGAAGCGCGGAAGGTGCCGCCCGTGGACTGTGAGGAGATGGAGCTGGCTGTCCTCCCCCTGGCCGGCAAGGTGCTAGCGAGTGCCCTGGGGGGTCCCGCGGCCCCTGGCTGGCCGCCTGTCCTGACAGCTTCGGTCCCCTTCCCCGTCTGCTCCTTTGCCAGTGGGCCCCAGGTCCGGCGCCCCGTCCGTGCTTCCCAGGGGATGTGGACAGGCAGGTGTCCATCGGGCGGGGCTGCCCAGACTAGGCACCTAACCATCCCGGGAGGCCACCAAGCCCGTGGTTTTCAATATTTAAGGCTCATTACAAATAAAGATTAAAATTTTCTGATTTTTAATTTTTAATACTTCTTAATAATTTAATACCTGGAATACATTTTAATTTTTAAAGGACACGGAATTAAATTCCCCTTGGCTCCCCGACCCCCGGCCCCGAGCCTGGGGGGGCGGGATCTGACGCAGCGGGCAACGCCCCTGCTGTGGAGACCAGCTCCTCACCCCCTCAGGGTGGCGCCTGTGATGGCCTCGGGCCGGGCGCCCCCAGGCACCCTGGGAAGCTCAGGGAGGCCCTGGCTCAGCTCCAGGAGGCCCTGGCTCAGCCGCACACCTCGTGGCCCCTGATATCCAGTTGACCTTAGAGTCAAGTTTTCAGTTTTGGGCCAATTGGCATCAGTGTAGTCAAAAGAATAGAGTCCACAGGTCCTGGAGTCATCCAGGTGCCGTCTAGAGAGAGCCACAGAAGCACAGCAGTGCCCAAAGTCACCCCTTCTTCCTGTGCCTCGAGGAGCTCAGGGCCTGTAACGGTGCACCCAGCCTCCCAGCCACTCAAGGCCGCAGGACTTCTAGCTCAAGTTTAGGGCTTTTGTGCCAAGTCAGCACTGGGCAATGCTGAGCTCAGCTGTGGGCTGCAGGTCGAGGGAGCGCGCTCTGGCCAGCTCCCCAGGGCCACGGGGTGGTCCACACCTGCCAGGAGGCAGGACACCCAGGGCAGGGGCGGGCGGGGCAGCGAGGCTGGGAAATGCACCTGCAGAGACCGGGGCAGCCGATGAGAGCACGGAAAGGCCCGGGCGCTGCGGGGCGGGGGAGCTGGGCCAGGTCCCGGCAAGGTGTGCTCGGCTCGGAGGTCCCGAGGCCGCGAGAGCCCAGGGCCTACCGCGGGCAGGAGGGCGGCGCACCTGAGCCGCGGCCGCCACAGTGAGCTTCCCGCTTCCCACGGGCTCTAGCGTCTGCGTCTGGTCACCGGGCTCCTGGCCAAGGTTTGCACACTGGCAACCAGGACAGAGGAGGGGCCAGGCAGCTTATTAATGCAGGGCTGGGACAGGCTGGCCAGAGAAGTGAGCACGATGGGGTGAGTGAGCGTCACCGCACACGTGTGCAGGGGGAGCCCCAGGAGCCGAGCCCCAGGAGCGGAAGCCCCAGGAGCGCGAGCCCAGGGTGAGGACCCTGCAGCCAGTCTGGGTCTCCACGCCGCTACCCTGCCCCAGCCAGCATCCCGGGCTGCTGAATCTCAGGCCTATGGGGTGCACGTGACAGACGAGTTGGGGGGCCCTCCCCAGCCCATGGCACTTTGGAACAGATGAGACTCACTGCAAGGTGCGGCGAGGCCAGGACGCCTCTCTGCTGAGAGTGGATGGGCTCATCTCTGACCGGGACACACGGGCTGCCAGGCTGGGGCCTCCCTGGGGACTGGGGGTAGGTGCCGACGCGGTGGGGGCTCACCAGTGAGGCCTCCAGGCCCAGAGCCCGGCTCTGTCCTGAGCCCTGCCCCGCAGGCCCTCCCCACCCCCGCCAGCCTCCCCGCCCACAAGTACGATCTGTAGAGACAACGATGCCAGCGTGTAGTAGTTATTGAGGAAAGGCAGTAGGCCTTCTACGTAGTTTCCAGGCGTTTGATGTGATTTATATATCTCAAATACTAATTTATATTCATATAATACTTGCATTATAAAATATGCAGTGGTATAGAGATTTGTATGTATATGGGAATTTTTTTTTAATTTGGGTTTATAAATGGCTCGGAACGGGTTGCCGAAAGACCGTCTGTTGCTCTTTTTAATATATCTTGAGCATGCTATGACATGTCCTGAAATAATTTGCTTTGGAAAAAAGCACTGCTCCCCCGCTCTTTTTTTCCACCGTAACCGTAAATATTACTTTGATGTACATAATTGCTTTAGCCATCTCCATTTGAAGGAAAGCTTCTAACCCTTCCGCCTCCCATCTCCTGCTTTGTCAGGAAATAAGAAAATCTGACTACAATGCATTATTCAGATGTATCTAATGTAAACATTAAAGAAGTCTGGGAATAGCCACACACTTTCCTTGGCTGAACATGGTCTTTGCGTATTTTGTTTTCAGACGCTCGTCCACTCTGCTCAGGGGAGAGATTTCCTTGCTCCTCCGAGGAGCGTGAGAAGCTTCCAGAGCCTGGCGGCCGGGGCCTGGAGAGCCCTGGGTGGCGGCTTGGGAGCCACTGTGGGCTCTGGAGCGACGGCGGACACCCTTGCGTCCCTCTGGGACCAGAGGTGGCCCTGGCGGGGCTCCGTGGGGGGGCTGAGGGGCCGGGGACCCTGTGCCTGTGGGCACCAGTGTTGCGGCAGAGCTGGGCTTTGGGGCCCTGGTCGGTGATTCCACCTCGTCGGTCCGCCCCTCTGGGAGCTTCGGACCCGGCTGCGGGCCTGGATCTCTTCGTCCCTGCCCGGCCAGTGGCCCGTGCATGTCCCAACCCCATAATCCTCAGTAAATTTTGTTGTGCAATTGAAGGACAAAGAGATGACATAGGCCCGCCTGTCTCCCTGCTTGAGAGGCCTGCGGGGCTGGGGCCTGGGGCCCTCGAGACCCACCACTGGCCGAGGCCTGCATCCCGGGGCTGCTGCCTGGGCTGTGCAGAGGCTGCCGGGAGACCGGGGCCTTTGGCCTTACCTGCATCCTGCACACAGCAGGGCCTTCTGCCCTCCGCCTTCAGATTCTGGGCTCCGCGAGCCCTGTGAGATGGCAGCCACACAACACAAGACCATCACGTCACACTGTGTGTGTGTGTGTGTGTGTGCATGCACGTACATGCCAGAGAGCGAGGGGGGGAGGGAGGGAGGGAGGGAGGGGGAGGGTCAGCTTATTTGCTGCAGAACCAAAGTTTCACTTCTCTATTAATAAACAAATAAATATTCTGACCTATTTTTCGACAGACTGAAGTTCTGGAATTTCAAATCACTGGATCCTTCTTTTGTTGTCCTTCGATTGCCCCTGGGATGAAAGAAAATAGATTAGAGTCAGGAAATAGCAAGAAGCGAGGGGAAAAATTAATTAAGTGCATTCATTCATAGAAACAACCATTCAGATTTAGGTAATTAACGTCTCACGCGTAATTCTAAATCTTTTTGCATTTCCATTGGGGTTAAAAAAAATGTGGGTTTAAAGTAATTCAACTACGTCAAAATATGGTTTTTTACTGCGAAAGCTGGATTTTATAAGGACGCCGTCAGGACAGGAGGCTCCCCCATCTCTCCAGTCTGGCGGGGCGCTGCATCTCGCTCTGTGGGTGTCTGGGCCACCGTATCGTCACCACACAATGGAGCCAAGGGACAGCCAAGGAGGGTTCTGGCTCTCCCCGTGTCAGCCGAGTCTGACCCGAAATTACGGATGCCACCGATGGAAGAGGCCGGTTATTTAGCAACAGCAACTGGGACTCGAATAATATTTATTGAACGCTATATAATTTCAGCACTTTGCTGTGGCGTTTTCTATGAAGAGATTCAATTATTTTAAATTGAGTCAATTTGTTCAAATGCAGCAAGGCATTCGCGATCATAAACCATCACGATCACGCACCCTCCTTCATTTAATTAAGCAACTTTAATACTCTTCCCTTCCCTTTGCAGGCGCTCAGCACACTCCCACACTCCCTCACTCCCTCGGGCATCCGGCTGCCAGGACCAGCCCCGGGGTGGGGGGGCTCCAGCCGACCTCCGACCTCCCGCTCTCCTCTGGGCCTGCCTGGACTTCTCTCCTCCCTCAGGCCCCCTTGCGCTGACGTGGCCCTGAGCTATTTCAGCGACAGGCATTCCTTCTCTCTGCTTCCATGAAAGCTTTCCGCAAGCAAATCTGAGCAGCAGGAGGTGCTTCTCGAGCCTGGCACCCAGCAGGGCAGACCTGGGGGCTTCCTGCCTGCTCTTCTGCCTCCTTAGCTCCAGCGCTGGGCTCAGCCCCACCGTTCTCAGGTTCTCAGGATCCTCGGGCCCCCCGACCTGTGCCTGTCCTGCACGCAGCGCTGAGTGACCATCTTCCCTGGGTTTAACCAGAAACCAGCGGCATCAGCCGTGCCTCTGCAGGGCGGAGACTGGCCGGCTTCCCTCCAGGGCCTGGGCAGTGCCCGCTCAGCGGACACTTGCCGGTGTCACGGTCAAGGACGCCCGAGGCGCCTGGCGGTGCTTCTCTCCACCGGCTGCAGCCGATGGGGGCAGCTGGCCGGGGCCCCGCCTCCCTGCAGATCTGAGCCTCTGGGAAGCTGGTGCGACGGCCTGGCTTTTTATTTATTCCTGTTTTGTCATGTTATGATTTGGGAATTGTTTGTTGCTGTGGCATTTCATGACTTCATCCTTCTTTTTCCATCTGGGGAAAGCTGGAGTCATAAATCTGTCCTCTCGCTTCCACGTTCTAGACGCAACATTGGACTGTTTTCTGGGCCTTCTGGTTGGTTCTGTTTGGGTTCCCTGGCTGTGTTCCAGCAGCACGGGGCCTTTTGCTGGCCAGGGCTCCCTGCTCGCTTAGTTTCCGTCGGTCTGCTCTTCACCCGCCTCCACGCGCACCTTCTCCCCAGTCCCCGAGTGGCTCCTCTTCACCCTCATCTTGCTCCCTCCCCCGGCCTCCAGCTTCAACCCGTTGCCAGCTGCCGCTGCCCGAGGCCTTGTCTGCAGGACGGGTCCAGACCCTTCCCGAGGTCGCCAAGATGCCTGCCCGAGGCCCGAGAAGCCTCCTGAGGCTTGTGGCCTCATGTCCTGTCACCCTCTCCCAGGGTGCTGCCGGGCCCCACACTGCCCACCCTTGGGGCCATCTTCTCTGCGCACCCTGACGGGGGATTGCTCGCTTCTTTTCAGCACCCCTGTCGCTGGCAATTACTCAGGTCTAGTTCAAACGCTTTCCCTGGGGCGCGCATTTCCCTTCATTTGTTCACTAAACAGACAAAGGTGTGGGTGCAGCAAGGCCGGCATGGGTGAGGGCGGTTACCGGACACCAGGGGCCAGAGCAGGATCAGTGGACAGCCAGCTTTGCCTCCCGCGGCCGACAGTGCCTGTCCCCCGGGCGGACTTGCCAGTGTACAGCACCGCCCCGCGCCCCGTCTCCGGGGCTGGGCTGCCGGACCTTAGGGTGTCTGGACGATGCGAATAGCTGCCTGGTCACGGGCAGCCACAGTCCTGCCCACCGCACCCGACACAGCTGGGAACCCAGTGAGCCTGCACCCAGCCCTGTTGGGAAGCTCACCCTGCTCCCCTCCCGCTCACCCCTCGGGCCCAGAGACAGACTCTTTGGGGTGGAGGTGCAGGGAGGGCGTGAGGTGAGCTCTGGAGAGCCCGAGCCAGCTGCGGAGGGAAGAGGGGGCAGAGCAAGCTCCAGGCTGCCCCCCCACCCCGACTCGCTGTTCCTCTGACCTTCCATCAGCACCTCCACCCCCTCCGCCCCTCCATGAAATGTCCTGCTCTGCACTGGAGACATTCTTCTCCCTTATAATGTCCATGGGATATTTTTCCTCACAAGTCCTTGAGATTTTTCCTTCCTTACATGATGGACCAAATTCTTGTACGATGTTCCGCTGTCTTCCCTCAGCTTCTGCGTCTGTCCACAGAAGGACAAGAACATGCGACATTTCAGCATCTTTAGAGACATCACATCACCTTTTCCCCCTGCACCCGGCTGTCTCTGCTGTGTGTTGGTTAGCCCAGATTTAGCAGCTTAAACAACACGTTTACAACCTCTGGGTTTATATGGTCAGGGCCTGGCGTGGCTTCACGGGGGTTTGCTGTTTTAGGGTCGCCGGTGGGGCTGCGATTCCGGTGTCGTAGGGCTGGGGTCTCATCTGAAAGCTCAGCTGGGGACTGGCCTGGTGTCAGGCTGTTGTCCTGCTGGCCTGACAGCCTCAGTTTCCTGGTGCCTGCCTGGTAGAGCTCCCTGGGCGCCTGCCCCTTGGGGCGTCCTGAGCAGCTCTCTCTTCACCAAGTTACAGGAAGACAAGAGGGAACTTTCAGCCTGTACCACACGGAAACGGCAGCCACGTGGCCACCGTCTCCTGTTGCTTAGCAGTGGTCAAGGCCTCACTCGCACTTGACAACTGGCTGGCAGGAAGGCCGCGTCCCACGTAGCTGCTTCGGATTCTCTGGGTTCAGTGCCAGCATGTAAGTGCGTCCGGCATGCAGACCGGGGGCGTCACACCCCAGGCCTGGGGACTGTGCAGGTGCTTGGGGAGAGCGCTAAGTATTCCTTGGATTGAGAAGCAGCTGTGGACAGGAGTGCCCCACTGAAGTGGGGGGCCCTCAGGGGAGAGGCATGCACAGGCAGGGTGGTGGGCACCTGCCAGGGGAGCCTCGTGCCAGTCTCTGCATCTCCTGCTTCCTTCTCGTGTGGTTGTGGGCAGAGAGGACACTCAAGTAACATCCGGAAAGAGTTTTTTTGCAAACCTACAAATCAAATTAGCTGGAATCTTCCTGCAGCCTATTTTATAAACTTCTTTGACCCCTGAAAATGTCAGGACAATTTTCAAAAGCTTTCCAGCTAATTTTAGAAGGCGCTAGCAAATACCAGAATAAACTGGTCCGCTGACTCTTCGCCCTTGCAAGCGAGAGGCCATCATAATTTTTGCCTCTGGGTGTTTTACTTCTAATGTCCTTAAAATAGCCACATCAGCTGTCACAAAACATTCGCCCCCACGCGGGGTGCCCTGGTCCGTCATTCCCTTCGCCCCGCAGCTGAACCCCGGACGTGCAAACTTACCTCGGTGGGCCCCCCTGTCCTCAGCTACTTCTGAGCCCAGGGAATGCGTAGTGCTCTCCCCGAGCGTCTGGGCTGAGGCCCACGGTCCGCATGCCGGACGCCCTTAGTGCTTGCCCTGAACCCAGAGAATCGGCGGCGCCTCGGCGGTACACAGCCCTCAGCCAGCCTGCTGTCCGAGCCGGGCTCTGTCCACAGAGGGCCACGCCCTTCAGCTGACCGAGCCCACCCCTCGGCTTTACTTAACTGCGCACTTTGACTTTGCAAATGTCAGTGTACTAACTGGTCCCTGGGGTCTCCCCAAGGCAATACCCTTTCTCCATCTCCAGGCTGACACCTTCAGGCTCCAGAATTTCCAAAGAAAGGAGAGGAAACCAAGGCAGGCGCGTCCCGAGGCGGCAAGGGGAGCTCCCCGGCCCGGCAGGCTCCCCCTCCGTCCCCAGCTTCCCGCCAGACTCCCACTTGGCACCTGCAGGCGGTCACCCCAGCCACCAGCCTGCACCCCAGTGGATGGGCCCCCCAAGTCTGTCTGTGCACAGACAAAGCAGCAACGTGCCAGGCACTTCCCCAGCTCTCCAGGTCGCGGCGGGCAGGGCCGGCTTTCGCGGTCCAGGCACCCTCCCGCCGTCTCGGTGAGGGCGAACACGGGCCTCTCCGCCTGCTGTCCCGAGAGCCCACACCGTGGCCGCGTGGGCGGGAGTGGGCGTCGCGGGAAACTGACCACTCGCAGGTGTGCACAGGGGACGGGCGTGCTGGGCCCAAGCACCTCTGTGATTGCCATCTGGGCCTGCGGGCCGTTCAGTGCCCCAGACCACGCTCTCCTCGGGGCCAGCCCGGTGCTGGGACTGGCAGACGGGAACAGAAGTGGGCCGGACGGCAGTGAGCAGACAGGGGCACAAGTGTTTGTTTGGAAATTGGAGCCAGGGCACGCTAGGCGTGGGAGCCGTTTGAAGGTAGGAAGAACTCAAGGGGCTGTTTTCTTTGGCTGTTGGGGTCACAGGCAGCCTGGAACCCCGAATGAAGGGCTGGACGGCAACTTGGGGTCTGTCCCGATGTTTGTGCCACTTTGCCTACCCTTGGGCTCCTCTTGCCCTCCTCACACCCTGCACCCACTGTGCAGTGTGACCAGCCTTCAGACCGTCCTGCACCCCAGGCCGCCATCTGCCCCATGCTGGCCCCTTGGGGTTGGCCGTGGTGGACACACAGCGAGGCCAAGCGAGTGGTTCCCGGCGGGCAGCTCTGTGCTGGCCACAGTCCCCTCAGCA